AAATGGGAAATATTTGGGGTTAAAATGGGGAAGATTTGGGGGGGGGAAATGAGAAAAACTGGAGTTAAAATGTGGAAAATTTGGGGTAAAAATGTGGAAAAACTGGGGTTAAAATGTGGAAAATTGGGGTTAAAATGGGAAAAATTGGGGTTAAAATGTGAAAAATTGGGGTTAAAATGAGGAAAGATTTGGGGGGGGAATGAGAAAGATTTGAGATTGAAATGTGGAAAATTTTGGGTTAAAATGGGGAAGATTTGGGGTTAAAATGTGAAAAACTGAAGTTAAAATGTGGAAAATTTGATTTAAAATGGGAAATATTTGGGGTTAAAATGGGGAAGATTTGGGGGGGGAAATGAGAAAAATTGGAGTTAAAATGTGGAAAATTTGGGGTTAAAATGTGAAAAATTTGGGGTTAAAATATGGAAAAATTTGGGGTTAAAATGTGGAAAAATTTGGGGTTAAAATGTGGAAAATTTGGGGTTAAAATGTAAAATATTGGGGTTAAAATGAGAAAAGTTGGGGTTAAAATGGGAAAAATTGGGTTTAAAATGGGAAAAATTTGGGTTAAAATGTGGAAAATTTTGGGTTAAAATGGGAAAAATTGGGGTTAAAATGGGAAAGATTTGGGGGGGGAAATGAGAAAAACTGGAGTTAAAATGTGGAAAATTTGGGGTTAAAAAATGGGAAAAATGGAGGTTAAAATGGGAAAGATTTTGGGGGGTAAAATGTGGAAAAATTTGGGTTAAAATGGGAAAAGTTGGGGTTAAAATGGGAAAAATGTTGGGTTAAAATGTGGAAAATTTGGGGTTAAAATCTGAAATATTGGGGTTAAAATGGGAAAAACAGGAGTTAAAATGTGGAAAATCTGGGGTTAAAATGGGAAAAATTTGGGTTAAAATGGGAAAAATTGGAGTTAAAATGGGAAAAATTGGGGTTAAAATGTGGAAAATTTGGAGTTAAAATGTGCAAAAAATTGGGGTTAAAACATGAAAAATTGGGGTTAAAATGTGAAAAAACCCAGGAAATTTGCCCAAATTTTCACGTAAATGGTGAAATTTTTGTTGGTGGGCGTGTCCCTCCTTGACCACGCCCCCTTTTTTTTTGTCCCCTCCCCCCAGACCCCTCCCCCGACAACGGTCGGTTCCGGGAGCTGTCGTGGCGGGTGGGGGTGGGCACCGTCCTGCACGGATTCGCCGGATACTTCGAGACCACCCTCTACCGTGACGTCACCCTCAGTCAGAGGGGCGGGCACGGGGGATGGGCCTGGGGGCGGGGCTAAAAGGAGGGTCTGGGAGGGAAAAATGGGGAAATTAGGTTAAGGCGAAATTGGGGTTTAAAGGGGGAAATTAGGTTGAAAGGGGATAAAGGGAAAAGGGGCGGGGTTTATGGGTGGGAGGGGCTTAAAGGGCGGCTTTAAAGGGAGGGGCTTAAGGGGTGGGTTAAAGGAGGGGCCTGGGAGGGCAGGGTTAAAAGGGAGGGGCCTGGGAGGGAAGAATGGGGAGGAAATTGGGGTTAAAAGAGGGAATTGGGGTTAAAATGGGGGATAAAGGGAAAAAGGGCGAGGTTTATGAGGTGGGAGGGGTTAAAAGGAGCAGGGCTTTAAAGGGGAGGGGCTAAAGAGGGTGGGACTTAAAGGGGAGGGGCCTGGGGGTGTGGTTAAAAGGGAGGGATCAGGGAAGGAAAAAGGGGGAAATTGGGGTTTAAAGGGAAAAGGGGGCGGGGCTTATTGGGTGGAGGGGCTAAAAGGGGGCAGGGTTTAAAGGGGAGGGGCTAAAGGGGGTGTGGTTAAAGGGGAGGGGCCTGCAAAAGGGGAGGGGCTTGAGAGGGAGAAAAGGGAGAAAAAGATGTAAATGGAAAAAAGGGGGCGTGGCTAATAGGGTGGGTGGGGCTTAGGAGGGCGTGGTTAAAAGAGGAGGAGCCTGGGAGGGCGTGATGGGAAAGGGGAGGGGCTTAAAAAGTGGGGGAGGAGCCTAAAATGGGGGGAAATAACAAAAAGAGGGCGTGACTTGAGGGTGGTAGGCGTGGCCAATTGAGTGGGAGGGGCCAAGAGGGGGCATGGCTACAAAGGGGCGGGGCCTGGGAGGATCCACCAACTGTGGGTGGGGGAAAATTTGGGGGGAAAAAAGGGACAAATTTTGGGGTAAGTTTTGGGGTAAATTTTGCATTTTTGGGGAGGGGGCGTGGCCGGAAGTGGGCGTGGCCTCACCCCTTGCCCCGCCCTCTTCCCAGGTATCCGTCCCGAGAGTCACAGCCCGGGGCTCTTTTCCTGGTTCCCCATCTTCTTCCCCATCAAGGTGGGCGGGGCCTCGGTGGCGGCCATCTTGGGGAGGTTCAAGATGGCCGCCGGTTTGGGGGTGGGGCCAATATGGTGGTCAATTGGGGGCGGGGCTTAATGGGGGTCATTTTGGGGGCTTCAAGATGGCCACCGGTTTGGGGGTGGGGCCAATATGGTGGTCAATTGGGGGCGGGGTTTAATGGTAGCCATCTTGAGGGGTTCAAGATGGCTGCCAGTTTGGGGGCTGGGTCAATATGAGCGGATTTTAGGGTGGGCCTAATGGATTCAAGATGGCTGCCTGTTTGGGGGTGGGGCCAATATGGTGGTCAGTTGGGGGTGGGGCTTAAGGGTAGCCATTTTGGGGGGTTCAAGATGGCCGCCCATTTGGGGGCGGGGCTTAATGGCAGCCATCTTGGTATGCGTAAAACAGCGGCCATCTTGGTGGGAGGGGCTTAGTGGCGGCCATCTTGGTTTACGTAAAATGGCGGCCATCTTGGTGGGAGGGGCTTAGTGGCGGCCATCTTTGTTAGCGTAAAATGGCGGTCATCTTGGTGGGAGGGGCTTAAAAGCGGCTATCTTTGTTAGCGTAAAATGGCGGCCATCTTGGTGGGAGGGGCTTCGTGGTGGCCATCTTGGTTTGCGTAAAGTGGCGGCCATCTTGGTGGGAGGGGCTTAGTGGTGACCGTCTTGGTTTGTGTAAAATGGTGGCCATTTTGGTTTGCGTAAAATGGCGGCCATCTTGGTGGGAGGGGCTTAGTGGTGGCCATCTTGGTTTGTGTAAAATGGTGGCCATTTTGGTTTGCGTAAAATGGTGGCCATCTTGGTGGGAGGGGCTTAATGGCAGCCATCTTGGTTTGTGTAAAATGGTAGTCATCTTGGTTAGCTTAAAATGGTGGCCGTCTTGGTGGGAGGGGCCTCGTGGCGACCATCTTTGTTAGTGTAAAATGGCGACCGTCTTGGTGGGAGGGGCTTAGTGGCAGCCATCTTGGTTTGCGTAAAATGGCGGCCATCTTGGTGGGTGGGGCTTAGTGGCAGCCATCTTGGTTTGCGTAAAATGGTGGCCATCTTGATGGGGAGTGGCGGCCATCTTGTTTGGTGAATGGCGGCATCTTGGTTTGTGTAAAATGGCGGCCATTTTGGTGGGAGGGGCTTAGTGCTGGCCTTCTTGGTTTGCGTAAAATGGCGGCCATCTTGGTGGGAGGGGCTTAATGGCAGCCATCTTTGTTAGCGTAAAATGGCGGCCATCTTGGTGGGAGGGGCTTAGTGGTGGCCATCTTGGTTTACGTAAAATGGCGGCCATTTTGATAGGTGGAGCTTCATGGTGGCCATCTTGGTTTGCGTAAACTGGCGACCATTTTGGTGGGAGGGGCTTAGTGCTGGCCTTCTTGGTTTGCGTAAAATGGCGGCCATCTTGGTGGGAGGGGTTTAAAGGCGGCCATCTTAGTTTGTGTAAAATGGCAGCCATTTTAGTGGGAGGGGCTTAGTGGTGGCCATCTTGGTTTGTGTGAAATGGCGGCCATCTTGGTGGGAGGGGCTTAGTGGCGGCCATCTTGGTTTGTGTAAAATGGTGGCCATTTTGGTTTGCGTAAAATGGTGGCCATCTTGGTGGGAGGGGCTTAGTGGTGGCCATCTTGGTGGGTGGGGCTTAGTGGTGGCCATCTTGGTGGGAGGGGCTTAGTGGTGGCCATCTTGGTTTGCATAAAATGGCGACCATTTTGGTGGGAGAGGTTTAGTGGCGGCCATCTTGGTTTGCGTAAAATGGCGGCCATTTTGGTGGGAGGAGCTTTGTGGTGGCCATCTTGGTTTGCGTAAAGTGGCGGCCATCTTGGTGGGAGGGGCTTAATGGCAGCCATCTTGGTGGGAGGGGTTTAAAGGCGGCCATCTTGGTTTGCGTAAAATGTCGGCCATCTTGGTGGGAGTAGCTTACTGGTGGCCATCTTGGTTTGCGTAAAACAGCAGCCATCTTGGTTAGCATAAAATGGTGGCCATCTTGGTGGGCGGAGCTCCATGGCGGCCATCTTGGTTTGTGTAAAATAGCGGCCATCTTGGTTTGCGTAAAATGGTGGCCGTCTTGGTGGGAGGGGCTTCGTGGTGGCCATCTTTGTTAGTGTAAAATGGCGGCCATCTTGGTGGGAGGGGCTTAGTGGCAGCCATCTTTGTTAGCGTAAAATGGCGGCTATTTTGGTGGGCGGAGCTTGGTGGCCATCCTGGAGGGCACGGTGGCCATCTTGGAGCTCATGGTGGCCATCTTGGATTCGGTTCTCCACCCCAACAGCCGCCATCTTGGTGGGCAGGGCTAAACCCCTTTAACTGGTGGCCATTTTGGAGGCCATGGTGGCCTTCTTGGAGCTCCTGGCAGCCATTTTGAAGATGGTTCTCCTTGGTTGCCGCCATCTTGGTGGGTGGGGCCAAATTCTTTTAACCAGTGGCTATCTTGGAGCTCCTGGAAACCATCTTGGATTGGATGCCCCACCCGAACAGCTGCCATCTTGGTGGTCATAGTGGCCATCTTGGGGGCATAGCAGCCATCTTGGAACTCACGGAAGCCATCTTGGAGCTCATGGTGGCCATCTTGGATTGGATGTTCCACCCCTAACAGCCGCTATCTTGGTGGGCGGGCTAAACCCCTTTAACCGGCAGCCATCTTGGAGCCTCATGGCAACCATCTTGGAGGTCATGGCGGCCATTTTAGGGGGCACGGTGGCCATCTTGGGTTGGATGCTTTACCCCAACAGCCGCCATCTTAGTGGGCAGGGCTAACTGCCTATACCCGGCAGCCATTTTGTCTGGCACGGCAGCCATCTTGGGTGTTTCAGCACTGACCACTCTTTTCCTTCTTTCCTCCCCCCACAGCAACCCCTGGCGGTGCGGGCGGGCGAGACGGTGTCGGTGGCGTTCTGGCGCGTGGCCACGCCCCACAAGGTGTGGTACGAGTGGGCGGTGACCGAGCCCGCCTGCTCCGCCCTCCACAACCCCAACGGCCGCTCCTACACCATCGGCCTCTGAGGACACGCCCACCACGGGGGGGAGGCCACGCCCACCAGAGGGAGGCCACGCCCACCAGAGGGAGGCCACGCCCACCACGAGGGAGGCCACACCCCCTTTGTGGAAGCCACGCCCGTTTTATGTTGGAAACACCCCTATTATTTTGTTGGCCACGCCCACCCAAGGCCACCCCCACCACGAGGAAAGGCCACGCCCACTTTGTGGAAGCCACGCCCATTTTATGTTCGAAACACCCCTACCATGACAGAGGCCACGCCCACCCAGAGGGAGGCCACACCCACTTTGTGGAAGCCACGCCCATTTTATGTTGGAAACACCCCTATTATTATGTTGGCCACACCCACCCGAGGCCACGCCCACTTTGTGGAGGCCACACCCACCACGATGGAGGCCACACCCACTTTGTGGAAGCCACACCCATTTTATGTTGGAAACACCCCTACCATGATGGAGGCCACGCCCACTCGAGGCCACACCCACCATGAGGGAGACCACATCCACTTTGTGGAAGCCACGCCCATTTTATGTTGGAAACACCCCTACCATGATGGAGGCCACGCCCACCCAAGGCCACACCCACTTTGTGGAAGCCACGCCCACTTTGTGGAAGCCACACCCACTTTGTGAAAGCCACGCCCATTTTATGTTGGAAACACCCCTACTATGATGGAGGCCACACCCACTTTGTGGAAGCCACGCCCATTTTATGTTGGAAACACCCCTACTATGATGGAAGCCACGCCCACCCAATGCCACACCCACCATGGTGGAGGCCACACCTGCTTTGTGAAAGCCACACCCATTTTATGTTAGAAAAACACCCCTATTATGTTGGCCACGCCCACCCGAGGCCACGCCCACTTTGTGGAAGCCACACCCACTTTGTGGGAGCCACACCCATTTTGTGTTGGAAACACCCTTGTTGTGATGGAGGCCACGCCCACTTCTCGATGGAGGCCACGCCCACTTTGTGGAAGCCACGCCCATTTTATGTTGGAAACACCCCTACCCTGATGGAGGCCCCGCCCACTTCTTGATGGAGGCCACGCCCACCTCTTGATGGAGGCCCCACCCACTTTTGGATTGAGGCCACGCCCACTGGGTGGAGGCCACGCCCCCCCCAATAAAAGGAATGATTGGATTGGGCTCCTTTTGTGGTTTTTTTGGGGGAATTTGGGGGGATTTTTGAGGGGTTTGAGGGAGATTTGGGGGGTTTGGAGGTCTCAGGAATTTTGGGGGTTTGGGGGATTTTTTTGGATTTTGGGATTTTTGGGGGATTTTGGGGGTTTTTTGAACTGATTGGGGATTTTGGGGGTTTTGGGGGATTTTTGGGGGTTTGGGGGATTTTTGGGGGCTTGGGGGATCTTTGGGGGCTTGGGGGATCTTTGGGGATCTTTGGGGATCTTTTGGTGTCTCGAGACTTTTTGGGGGCCAGATCTGGGGGACTTTTTGAGAGTGGTCTGAGGGTCTGGATGGCCTGGGAAGATTCTTTGGGGCCTTTTTGGACTGTGGATTTTGGGGGTTCTTTGGATTGTCCGGGATTTTGGGGGTTTGGGGATTTAGGGGACTTTTGAGAGGGTTTGAGGGTTTGGGAGGGCTTAGAAACTCTCAAAAGGTTTGTTCTGGATTTTTTCTGGAATCTTTGGAATTTTTGTGGATTTTTAGGTTTATTTGGAATTTTGGAGTTGTTTTTCTTTGCAAGTTTTGGGGTTTTTTGGGGATTTTGAAGGGTTTGGGGGTTTGGAGGTCCCAGGAATTTTGGGGGATTTTGGGGATCTTTTGGGGGTTTTTGGATTGTTCGGGATTTTTGGGGGTTAGGGATTTGGGGGATTTTGAGAGGGTTTGAGGGGTTTGGGAGGGTTTAGGAATTTTGAGAGATTTTTGGGAATTTTTAGGGGGATTTTTTGAGTTTGTTTTTTTTTTTCTAATTTTTGGGGTTTTTTTTGGGGGGGGAAGGGGGATTTTTGAAGAGGTTTTGGGGCTTTTGGGGGGCCTTGGAGGGTCTCAGAAATTTTGGAGGTTTTGGGGATTATTTGCAATTTTTTGGGAATTTCTTTTAATTTTGGGTGATTTTGGGAGCTTTTGGGGGTTATTTTGATTTTGGGATTTTTGGGTGGGATTTTGGAGGGGTTTTAGGGGGTTTTGGGGGTTTTTAGGGGTTTTTGGGGGTTCTGGAGGGGTTTTTAAGGCAATTTTTGGGGATTTTTCCCTCAAAAATAAAAAAATTAAAAGGGGATAAAATTTGGGTGAAAATGAAAAGTTTTGGGTAAAAGAAGGGGGGATTTTGGGGCTGTTTTTGGGGGGAATTCGGGGTGGGAACTTTGGGGGAAATTCTGGGAGATTTGGGACGGAAAAAAAGGAGAATTTGGGGGATTTGGGGGAGTTTGAAGGAAAATGGGGGATTTGGGGGAAATTTGATGTCAATTTTGGGGAAAAAAAAGCATTTTTGTTGATTTTGGGGGGAAATTTGGAGAGATTTGGGGGAAATTTGGGGGAATTTGGGGCCCAAATGAGGGAAAATGGGGAATTTTGGGCAATTTGGGTGGGATTTTTTTTGAAATTTGGTTTAAATTTGGGGAAATTTTGGAGAATTTTCATTAAGTTGGGGGAAAACGGGGAGAAATTTCCTTAAATTGGGGGAAAATGGGGAGAAATTTCATGAAATTGGGGAGAAATTTCAGTGACTTGGGGGAAATTGGGAGAAATTTCATGAAAGTGCAGAGAAATTTGGGGAATTGGGGGGAAAAGGGAGAAATTGGGGCAAAAATTGAGGAAATTTGGGGAAAAATAAGAGAAAATTGGGGCAAAAGAAAAGAAATTGGGGCAAAAGAAGAGAAATTGGGGCAAAACCCACAAAATTCAGATGAAATTTGGTGAAAAGAGAAGGAAACCCAAGGGAAATGGAGGAAAACTTGGAAAAAAAGAGTTGAATTAAAAAGATTTTGGGGTGAGTTTTGGAAAAGGAACTGATGAAATCTGGGGTAAAATGGGGGAGTTTGGGCCAGAAAATTCCAAGTTCTGTTCTAAATTAGGGAAAAAAGAGATAAATCAGCGAAAATTGAGGCGATTTGAGCCAAATTTGGGCAAAAAAGGGGAAAATTGGATTAAAAAAATCAACCATAACAAACCCCCCCCCTTTAAAACCTCCTTGGCTTTCCCCACCTCCAAGCGGGGTTTTTTTCCTCCCCCCTAATCCCGCACCCCTTTAATGTGTTTTTCGCCTCTAAAAATCCCAATTTTGGTGGGTTTTTTTATTATTTTCAGGCTTTTTAAGGGGCTACTCGAGCGCAGGCTCGGCCAGGCCGCGCTAGGCCGCGTTGCCATGGCGACGGCGCGGCGGGAAAAGGGGCGTGGCCCCCCCTTTTTTTTTTTTTTACCCGGCAACCAATGACGGCTCACCTTCCTTCAACCAATCAGCGGCGGCCTCACCCTCCCCGCCGATGACCAATCAGCGCCGCGAATTACCGACTGACAGGCGAACCGACCAATCATAAATAAGGGAGGGGTAAAACCGACCAATGGCGGGGAGGGGAGGGCGGGGCTAAGCGCTGTGGGGAAGGGCCCGGGGGCCGCCGCCATTTTGAACCGCCGCGTCCCGGGGCCGCCGCCGCCGCTGCCGCGAAGGGGGAGGAGGAGGGAAAAGACGCCGAAAAAGACGAAAAAGGAGCCTGAGGAGGGTCCGGTGAGAGGGTCGGGGAAGGGGGAGGGGCGGCGCGGCGGGGGCGGCGCGGGGGTGACGTCGGAGGAGGGGGAGAGGAAAGGGGTGGGGGGTAAGAAAATGGCGGCGCCGTGAGGGCGGAAACCGCCAGGGGGCGCTAAGGGGGTGGGGAGAAAAGGGGCGTGGTTTGTGGCGAGGGGGGCGTGGCTTGATGGTCTTTATTGATAAATGGGCGTGGTTTGAGGCAAAAGGGGCGTGGTTTGAGGAAAAAAAGGCGTGGTTTGAGCGGGAGGGGGCGTGGTTCTGCCGGAGTCACGTGGGAAGGTTTTTGGGTTAAAATCGAAGGGTTTTGGGAGTGAATTGGGGGAGGGAGCTTAAGGAGGGAGGGGCGTGGCTTAGGATAAAAGGGGCGTGGTTTAAGATGAGGGGGCGTGGTTTAACGAGGAAGGGGGCGTGGCTTAAAGCACCCACAATTTGGGGGGAGAAAGGAAAGATTTGGGGGTTAAGTGGGGTGGTCGTGACGTCATCACCAACACTATGACGTCATCGCCCACAGGTTAAAAAAAAAAGAAGAAAAACACCTGAAAAAAGAAAAAGACCCGGATTTTGGGGTCCCTCCCCACCCCAAAAAGGAAACCCCCTTCCCAAAAAAAACACAAAAATGGAGTCGGGGGTCCAACGCTGAACGACCCGTGAGTGGCTCTGGGGGATTTTTGGGGGATTTTGGGGATTAAAGAGGATTTTGGGGATTAAAGAAGATTTTGGGGGTCCTGGGTGGGATTGGGGGGTTGGGGGTATTTTGGGGGTCCTGGGGGTGTTTGGGGGAATTTTGGGGGGATTAAAGAGGATTTTGGGGGGATTAAAGAGGATTTTGAGGGGGTCTTGGGGGTGTTTGGGGGAATTTTGGGGGGATTTTGGGGGAATTAAAGAGGATTTTGGGGATATTAAAGAGGATTTTGGGGGGTCCTGGGTGGGATTTGGGGGTTCTTGGGTGGGATGTGGGAGGATTTTGGGGGTCCTGAATAATTTTGGGGTTGTTTTTGGTGATTTTGGGGTGGTTTTGGGGTTGATTTTGGGGGTTCCTGGGAGGGGTTTTGGGGGAAATTTTGGGTGGGTTTGGGGGTCCTGAATAATTTTGGGTTGATTTTGGACAATTTTGGGTTGATTTTGGACAATTTTGGGGTGATTTTGGGTCATTTTGGGGGGATTTTGGGGTTGATTTTGGGTGATTTTGAGGTGGTTTGGGGCTGATTTTGGGGGGTCCTGGGAGGGTTTTTTGGGGGAATTTTGGGTGGATTTGGGGGTCCTGAATAATTTTGGGTTGATTTTGGACAATTTGGGGGTGGTTTTGGGCGATTTTGGGTTGATTTTGGATAATTTTGGGTTGATTTTGGGTGATTTTGGGGTCGTTTTGGGGTTGTTTTTGGTGATTTTGGGGTATTTTGGGGGTTCCTGGGAGGGTTTTTGGGGGGCTTTGGGGTAATTTTGGGGGTCCTGAATAATTCTGGGGTGGTTTTGGGCAATTTTGGGGATATTTTGGGTTGATTTTAGGTGATTTTGGGGTGATTTTGGGGTGGTTTGGGGCTGATTTTGGGGGTTCCTGGGAGGGTTTTTGGGGGGTTTTGGGGTACTTTTGGGGGTCCTGAATAATTCTGGGGTGGTTTTGGGCAATTTTGGGCAATTTTGGGGTGATTTTGGGGTCGTTTTCGGGTGATTTTGGGGTTGGTTTCGGTGATTTTGGGGTGGTTTTGGGGTTGATTTTGGGGGTTCCTGGGAGGGTTTTTGGGGGGAATTTTGGGTGGATTTGGGGATCCTGAATAATTTTGGGTTGCTTTTGGACAATTTTGGGTTGATTTTGGATAATTTTGGGTGTATTTTGGGGGGTTTTGGGGTCATTTTGGGGTTGTTTTTGGTGGTTTTGGGGTTGATTTTGGAGGTTCCTGGGAGGGTTTTTTGGGGGAATTTTGGGTGGTTTGAGGGTCCTGAATAATTTTGGGTTGATTTTGGGCAATTTTGGGTTGATTTTGGATAATTTTGGGGATATTTTGGGGCGATTTTGGGGGTTTTGGGGTCGTTTTGGGGCGATTTTGGGGTTGTTTTTGGTGATTTTGGGGTGGTTTTGGGGTTGATTTTGGGGGTTCCTGGGAGGGTTTTTGGGGGAGTTTGGGGGGGTTTTGGGGTAATTTTGAGGGTCCTGAACAATTCTGGGGTGGTTTTGGGCAATTTTGGGGTGATTTTGGGCAATTTTGGGGTGATTTGGGGGGTTTTGGGGTCCCAAATCCTTCCCTTCCCCCCCAGACGGACGCGATGACGTCGGACGACTTCGACATCGTCATCGAGGCCATGCTCGAGGCCCCTTACAAGAAAGAGGAGGTCAGGGGGGGTCCTGGGGGGTCTTGGGGGTCCTGGAGGGCTCAGGAATTTTGGGAATTTTTTTGGGAATTTTGGGGAATTTTTAGGAATTTTTAGGAATTTTTTTGATTATTTT